AGAATTGAATAGGATTGAATTGAAGAAAAATATCCTTTACCTGTGTATAGCCCTAACTGAAACTGCTGCAGTTCAAAATAAATTAATTGTACCATGTTTGGCAGCTAGAGAATTAAATTGGCTTTTTGGATTGGACTTAGAGCTGTGGGAGGCAGATAGGCAGTGGTTCGGGCCCACAATCGCCTTTGTGATTGGGACCGCTCCTTGAGTTCTCCCGGTGCTCTGAGAACAAACCACAGGTTTTCAAAAAAGAAAAAATAAACTGTGGAGATTTAAAGGGACAAAACCTCCCCAGGTCTGGAAATGTTGTGTGTGAGAATATGTCTGTGTGGAAACTTCCGGTTTGTCGGCTTCGCGAGCGGCAGGGATTCGCGAAGCTGCGCGATCCCTGCTGCGCTAGCCGCTTTTGGGGCTCCGATCCGGACGGGTACGGAGCTAGGCTGCCCTGCAGGGGCAGCTGAAGGTAGGGGGGATCCGGAGAGGGGTTTGGGGGTGCTGCAGACCCCCTCCCCAGCTGGCAGAACCCCCTTTTCCCAAGACGGTGCAGCGGCGGTCCGTAATGGCCGCCACAAAGAAGCTGGCAGCCGGGTAAGAATGCGCAGGAGGAAGTGGAGAAAGTTTTTGAAAGGAGAAAGTTTTTCTTGGTTCCTAGGACTTTAAGACATATTTAACAAAATTCCTGAAAAGTATGACTTTCTGAATGATACCTTCTAGAAGAGGAAAAAAGCGGCAGTTTGATGGTGCTGAAAGGAAAGCTTACCCTCTTTTCCTACGGAATAAATAAGCTTTAAGCGATGAGTGGGAAGAGAGAGGACTAAAAAAAAAATATTTGTATGCTAAGACTTTGTTGGAGGAGATGCCTTAAGGATTTGAAGACTAAAATATATTGCAATAAGATTTTAAGAAACAGATTTGGACTTTCTTTTTCTCTGATTGATACTACCCCAGGAGGAGAAAGTGAGAACTCTGCCTTGGTTTGGACTGATTGATAACTTTGGGACTGTTTTATTTTTTCTTTGGAATATTCTGGTTGTTGTAAGAAGAAAGAAGGGGAAAAGAAAAGAAAAGATTTATAATGGCTCTTTCTATTGAGGAACTGAGAAAAGATTATGAACAAGCAAAAAAAATGGTAAAGCTGGTTTGAAAGAAGCCTTCCTTTTTTTAGAAATGGCGCTTATTAACTATCAACAAACATTACAACAGATGAAGACAGCAGAAGAAGAAGAAGGGGAGGAAGCCATTTTTAATAAATTTCAGAACTCGACCAAGAAAGAAGGAAGAGGGAAAGGAAGAGAAATAAAGGACTTAAGATTTAAAAAAACACTTAAGAAAGGGAAAAATAAGGTGCAAAATCAATATAATGATAGTAAACAAAAGGGAAAAGGAATACGACAGAGAAGGGAAGCCAGTAAGGCAGAGGCTAGAAGAAGGGGGGGGGGGGTAGAAAGGTTTGTTGGGAGAAGAAAGAAAGGGAAAAGGTGGAGAAAAGCTACAAAGTTTTGAAATTAAATGGGAAAAAAGGATTCTTTTTTAGGGATAAAGGATAAAGTATAATTTCTTCAAAGAGATTTTGCAAGGTACATAAGATGATATTGTAGTATTGTATTAGAAATAGAAAACTTAAATGGTTTAAGAGTTGATAAGAGATTAAAATGTTGAAATGTTTAATAATGATTGGTTTTAAAATTTAATAATATGAGGGGAGGTTTAGAATATTGAGTTTTAATTAAAGAGTTTAATAAGATTATGGTATTGATGTTATTATAAAATTTCTATTATAGTATTTGTTTTTAATATTTAGATCTATTGTTTAACTATGTATTTAATTATTCTGGATGTACTATTCAGATAGAATGTACCAAGCAAAATCGGATTGGGTATTGGGCGTTATTTTAAAGGTTAATTTAGGGGGGAGATAGAAAGGCATCATACTCTGATTAGTGATTTCAGGAGAAACTTCTTCTTTTTTTTTTTTTTATAAGGAACGAGACAAAGGGACAATAAAGAATGGACAAAAGATACAAATATAATGACTCAAATTAAGATGATTAATTAAGATAGAATTAAGAAGAGTGAAATATGTGGAGAAGTTAATATAGAAGACTTAGAATGGTAAATAAAATAAGTAATGATATGTAAGATGAGCATGAATATAATTGAAGTCCATGAAGAGAGAGATACCTGGGTCCAAGTTACTTTCCAAAAAGTTTTTTTTTATGTTTTGTGTGTTGTGTGTATATGTTTTTTTGGGGGGGGAGAATTAATAAAACCTTGCAGAAATATAGAATGAGAATAATGGTAACTAAGTCAGAAAGAAATAGATGAAATAATAATAATAAAATTGAATAAGAGTAAAGAGAAATAAAGAGAAATTGGATAAGAGGTTTTTGTATGTTTATATGGAAATGGTTTAAAACAGAATTATAGTTTATCTGACTTGTTAAATTTATAATGGAAAAAGGTTTAAACATGTAATGGATAATGATGATTTGTGTGTTTTGAAAATTAATAAAACTTGTTTAAAAAAAAAAAAGAATATGTCTGTGTGTAATCATTTCCAGCCCTGGAGGATGAGATTGTCTAATAACAGTACACAAAATTATTTAGACAATGGAGCTTATTGGCTCCCAGAAAAGAATTTTAGCTATGCAAGCAGTCTGATTAAAAGTTGGTGTAAATGTTTGTGTGTTGATCCCCATCCCAGATTAAAAGGAGAGTAAGAAATAGCATGTGCAATGAAATGAGAAAGGTCCAGACGTATTTGTGTGTGCTTTATTGATGTTGTTAGTTATTTGTGTGTGATTTACTGGAGAGAGAGAGATTTATTTTGTTGAATGAGATTTCTGTGTAGTATTTTAAAAATCCCCCCCCCCCCCCTCTTTTTCCTCGCTGGTTGTTAACTTTTTGCCTTGTAAAAGTGGAGGGGGGGGGAGAGTGAGATTCTTGCTCACTTTAACATTTTTTTTCCTCTGCTTTGAGTTTTTGCCTTGAAAAAGGTGAGGCTGGAAAATAACTTTTTTATAGCTTACATAGCTTACACATGTAGTCATTGCTAGAGAAATACTATTTCATCTCCTGATTTTTTTAGCGATTTTCACACAAAGGAGCCTCAGATAGATAGGCTGAGATTGGCAAATTGCCTGGAACGTTATCTTTGAAGATGGCTCAGTTCCCAGTTTCAGCAAGGGGAATCAAAATTCAAACTAGCTGCACTCTGTACATGCTCTTAAACCATATTTTGATTAAAGCAGAGAATTGACACTAAAATTTGACTCCATCACGAGGGTTTACAACAAGAATGTGAAGAATGTATAGCTATTACCAGCACAACAGGTAAAATCACAAAAGGTATACAATGGGCTTTGCAAATAACTTTTTCTTTGTAATTTTTGAAGGTGTAAATGGTGGAGTTGTGTAAATCTGATTTTCAATTTTATTTTCAGAATAACTTATCTCTTCAATGTGTTTTAACTGACTATGTAAGCTGTATTGTTTGCCTAAAGAACCTTGGCTTGCTTGGTTAATGACTTCTTCCTTTCCTGTCCTTACAAGGATCCCTCATGATACCTGGAAAGTGTCCTGTTATGTTAACTTTCAAAACTTTTTCTCAACAGCCTTTTAATTTAATCTCTGACTCTCATTATGTGTGTTAACTTATTTTTAATCTTCCAGGTACTTATATCATTCCCAGGATTGATCCTAATCTCATGGCCTTGTTTTAAACTTTGCAGCAACTGCTACAAGATCGAAGGCAGTTTTACTATGTTTTTCACATTCATAGTCACTCCCCACTTTCTGGGCCTCTTTCTGAAGGCAATAGTTATGTTGATGCTACTGTTCATATTTAACCTACTTTGTTTTCAATTTTTTTCTCAAGCCAAGCAGCTTGTTTCATCATCAACTTTGGCATATGGATGTTACCCATGTTCCCTCTTTGGCCTGGAATAACAAGTTCATCAGTCCTTTAAGGCCTGCCTCCACAAATAAATAAAAAAGGAGGGAAATGGTCCCTAATGTGTCCCTAATTTAAATTGTTGTGTATCATTTACCTTAAACCAATTGAATGTTATTGAATGTTTCTTATTTACCTTAAATTAATTGAATGTTTCTATTCAAAATTTAACTACTTGGGGGCGAGGGGGCAGGGTTGTGCTGCTGTGTTTGCTCCTACAGGACCTTTGTAGATTCTGGCTCGTTGTTTCCGCCCAGCCAAGGATGTCATGGCACCACACCAGTCCCCGGATCCGGTCCCAGTCCCAGGAATTTGACTTTACAGATGGCACAGTGTTCAATCCGGGCTCATTTGTTTATGCTTGATTGTTTACAGCTGTTCTTTGGCAACAGTGGCTATTATTATACCCAAACACTCACTTGAGCAATGAATGAAGTAAAACTTATGGGTTGTCATGCCCCTGGTGGAGAATGACTCTGTGGAAGAGGAGGAACAGCCAACAGAGAGTGGGAGTGTGGCTCCAGAGGTGGTGGAGGAGGCTGGGGAAGGGCAGAGACTGGCTGAGCAATCAGAAGAGGATCTAGGCCCATCCCCTATCCATCCTAGGGCACGCAGAGAGGAGAGGATCAGGGAAAAGCGAGGTCTACTCAGGAGGAGATTACCATGATCCTCCTCATGGCTTGCAGCTGGAAGCTATGTATATAAGTTTGTAACTGCGTAGTCAGAATTGCTGGAGTCAAAGTTTAGTGTTTCCTTTGAAAGAGGTTTATCTTTGTTGGCATTCTTCCCATGGACTCTCCCCGTTATCTTCCTGGAATGTATGATTAATTATCTTGGTTTGCTTTGGAACTCTTGTCAATGCAGTTTGTTTTGGTTTCTTTTTGCCTCATTATTTACTTTTGTGACTTTAAACTGTGCCTAATAAAACAGTGAAGTTAAGCTGAAGGCATTACCGGACTTTAATGTATGTTTTGGGTTTGGGGTTGTTTTGAGAGACTACGGGTCATCACATGGGTGCAATTGGCGAACATCACACAGAATGATGTCCTTTGCTTATCTGAAACCTATGATATGGAACATTTGCTTTCTACATGTTTAGTTCCTGTCTGCACTCCTTCTGCAGTAATTCAAAACTTCACTGGCTTAAGTGGATATCTATTCAATGTTTAACTATAAGACTATATCTAGTTGGGGGTTTGCTGCTTATTATCCATCCCCTGATGCAATTGCTTTACGCACGCAATGGTAGCAGTCCCTGTAAATATAACTTGTGCAAAAGTAGTAAATTGTACATCTTCAAGTAAAAAACCTCACTGTCATCGCATTAGCTCACCTACTTTGAACTGCACAGCTTTTGAAGAGACTTCCTTTCACTTTGCTCATGTTTGGCTACCGCAAGGATGGTTTTTTACATGTGGTAAATAAACTTTTCATTATATTCCTGCTAATATTAGTGAAGCGCAATGCTGCCTCAGCCGGCTGATTCCGGTTTTGCTTTCTAAACAACAACTTTATCCTTTGAATTGTTCTCGACGTGGGGTCACACTAGATAGCACTTGTGACTCTGAAACAACCTTACTTAATAAAGCAGAATACATAGTGCTTGCTGTGTCTATAAGTGAGCGTGCCAGCATTTGCTGCTCACGCTCACCTTAACATTAACTCTGTTGCATGTAATTTAGCAAAAACAATTAATGCTACTTCTTCTGCTATCTCAACAATCAACCACGACATGCAAGCATTGAGGAAGGCTATTCTACAAAATCTATATTGTTTTAATTTGTTTGATGGGTCACGAACCATCCAGCACCAGCTTAATATTTTCAACAATTTGGCCTCGGATTTGACAATTGATAATTTAGGATCTTGGTAGGAAAGCTTTTGGGCTTGGTTGCCCACAGGCTTAATGGGAAAAATTTTATGCTATGTAGTCATTATTTGTGCTTTAATTAGTGGGTGCTGCTTTGTTCAATGTCTCCCTTCTCTTTGCAATATATGTATGACAGCTTTTCACCCTAAACCCTCTCCTACATTGCCTCAGGGTCAAGTATATGCCCTGTATAAACAACTACAAGCATGCTCTTCTATTGATTATTATGAGTCCTCTCCTAACTCCTTTTATGATTCTTCTTTGTCTAATAAAATAAAAAAGAGTGAAATGTAATAGCTATTGAGGTCCTGTAGATGGTGCTAGCAGCAAACTGTAGCGTTTAAAAACCTATAAGGGCCTCTTTGCTCTTTGCATGATTCTCTATCTTGGGTTGGAAAGTCCCGGACTTTCCAGACTTATAAGTGATCTCATTTTACTAACATCACCAATATTCTTAAGGATTGGTTGGGAGGTTTTACCAATGTGATATCTATTCTCCAATCCAGATGCTGTATCTATGTTGCCTTTGTCTACTTGTAAAAACCCTATAAAATGCAATAAACGCTGGTCAGGCAGTCAGACATCTTGGCACCCTGCACAATGACTGGTCTTTGAAACCCATCAAGCTGGAAGAATGAATGCGAGAGAGTGCCGCCACAGCAAAGTGAGGATGCAAAGCCAACTGCTAGAAAGGAGGTCCTTTTATTGATTCAGAAGTGAAGTGACATACAGCAATTGGTTCTTGGACAGCTGACAACCTGGTCTGGAGAGTAGACTGGTTTTTATATGATTTGGGGGCTTTCTGATTGAGATATTTAGGTTTGTTGTACAATAGCCCTAAATGTGTGTCTTTTAATATTCTAATTGTGGTAGGTTGATTCCTACTGAGGCTGGGAGGTCATGCCCTATCCTTGGAGTTGGGTGGGGAAATGTACATTAAAATGTCATTGTCCTTAATCTTTTCAGTTTCGGCTCCCTGTGCAGCCAGCTTCGCTTTGCTTATGAATGGGGCCATCTGGATACTGAATATCTATTCACAAGAAATGCTCTGTCTTTGTGAATGGATACAAAGTATTTCATTCACAAGCACTCAAATCATTATGAAAGCTGCTTTGGGTGATTCCCTATTAGTGAGAGGATTGGAGTTGGTTTTTATTCCAGGGAAGCTTTCTTCCTATTTCGGGGAGACCATTCCTTTTTTTGGGAGGGGTGTTCCCTGCAATCCCCCATTTGATGTTAATATATGGAAATATATTCTGCACAATTCAGATGTTAGGGTTCCAACCGATGCCCTAATAAAAGCAGGAGCCTCAAGCAAATTTTCATGAAAAATCCACTTGTTTATTAGGAACATCATGTCAACACGAACCAAGTGAAGCCAGCTCTGACTCCACTCAACTCATGCCTTGCTTCTGACCCTGTTGCCCCCTCCCCCCAAGGTGTGTCATCAGTCACATTCCCCAACGAAGCAATTTTGTGGATTGTAGAAGTCACTCCCTCTGTTGTGGCCCGCCGGCGGCTGGCAGAGCTGGCAGCAGAGTCAGACAGTAGCAAGGTGGTTGGGGAGGAACCCAGGCCATTCCTGGAGGCTGAGGAAGGCTCAGATGAGGGTGCTGCGTCAGAGGCAGAAATGGGGCCAGGGCAGGCTGGTAGTTATCAGCTCTCTTCGGGCTCAGACAGCAGTGAAGCAGGGGAGCTTCTGGAACCAGTTTTCAGCCTGCGCATGTGCAAAGCTACCAAAAGGAAGGCACAATTAAGAACTCAGGGTCAATGTGGGAGTAAGGCCACAGGTGGATGATGAATGGCCCCTCCCATCAGGATTAAAAGAGAAGCAAAAGGGGAGGGGGCTTTTGCAGGAAACAACTCGCTCGTTCGTTTTTTCCAGCCTTGTGGAAATTTGTCTGTATAACCCAGCCCCTCCCTGCCAGCACTGAGTGTGGAACTATTTACCGGGCAGCATTCCAGGATTGATAAAGTCTGAGCTCATTAGTATACCTTCTCAAGACTGTTTGCCAAGCCGTTGGCTGACTGTGAATGAAATAAATTCACATTAATGTAATAAAAGAGGTTTTTGCCAGGACTTAGAATTGACTTAGTGCTTTTTGGGGAGGCCTAGGACAGAACACTCTCCAGCTGTTACTGGTTTCTGTGGAGATGGCCTTGACTTTGGACAGCTAGGATGTTTTGACTGAGGTGCAAATTCCTTGATGCAGCTGCGAGACTTGGTTCCCCATCCCCCCGCGTATGGAAATTCGGGAGCAGGTTAGGGAAGCTTCGCAAGTTGACATTCAGTTTCCCTCAGTACCTGAAGGCAACCTTGTGCAAAGCAAAAACAGTTTGAGTACTGGTATAAATTTTAGGGGTGTGATTCCCTCCCAGACTTTGTCGGGTTCCTTTCATGGAATTTAGCCATGAGGTGATCAGCTTGGATGTTTCTACTCTTTACCCAGGATGCCTCTAATAGAGGGTAGCCCTTCCACTTAATTAAGTATGGGAGTTGCCCCCTGTGCCACCTAGAGTCGAGGATGCATTGCACCTCGTAATGGGTTTGGGCCTCTAGGACCACTGGGGCTCATGTGGTAGTGGTCTCAGGGTAGACCTGACCACGGGATTCAAGAGGCTACTATGGAATACTGGGTGTATTTTCCCCAGCAGTTGGGAGAAACAGCCATTGTGGGCCCTGGTTGTCTGCCTGTTGCTTATAGGACTGCGCTGCCTTAGCTAGCACTTTCTTGACATTTTCCCATGCCACTTTTAGCATCAACAGCCACTCCATCAAACTGACTAAGGAGGGGGGTTCCCTTGGGTATTCCGACATTGGGATGAAGTCCATACCACTTACTACCTTAAACGGGGTCAGTCCCATGCTACTTGTCATGCCCCTGGTGGAGTCTGACTCTGAGGAAGAGGAGGAACAGCCAACAGGGAGTGGGAGTGTGGCTCCAGAGGTGGTGGAGGAGGCTGGGGAAGGGCAGAGGCTGGCTGAGCAGTCAGAGGAGGATCCAGGCCCATCCCCTATCCATCCTAGGTCATGCAGGGAGGAGACGATCAGGAAAAAGCAGTGCCAGCTTTACATGAGCCTTCAGCCTGAGGACTTTCCCACTGACCGGGATAAGGTGGGGGGTTTGATTAGTTTGTTGTCAGGCTCTGCAGCACGTTGGGCGACGCCTCTGCTGACCCAGCCCAACCAGGTGTTGGACAATTACACCGAGTTTTGCCGTCAGTTTCAGGCCATGTTTGAGGACCCTGTTCGAAGCCAAACAGCAAACAGATGTTTGAGAGAGCTGAAGGAGGGGCGTGGCTCACTCATGGATTATATTGCTAGTTTTCAGGTGGTTGCTCAGGATGTACAATGGAATGAGGCAGCACTATTAGACCAGTTCCAGGAGGGTTTGTCATCGGAACTTCTGGATGAGTTGGCGCGCACTGAATGCCCTCGCACCCTTCAGGAGCTCATGCATTTGTGTCTTCGTATCGATGCTAGACTTCAGCAGCGACAGGTGCGATGACGGACAGAGACCATATCTGTCTCCAGCAAGATGGTGCCCTTGGTGGAAGTGCCTTTGGAGGAACCCATGCAGTTGGGCACTGGCCACCCTCGCCTGACTCAAGTAGAAAAGAATAGACGTCGTCGTGATGGTTTATGCCTCTATTGTGGCAATCAAGGCCATTTTGCGGCCAAGTGTCCTGTTAAGACATCCACAGCAGCAACACCTGCAGTGGCGGGAAACAAGCATCACTCGGCCTACGGGGGTCTGCAGGTCGGGGTGTAAAGTCCATAGGTCCGCCATCTTCACCAACCTTGCCACCCTCACCACCTTTGACATCTTCGACATTTCCACCAGAGTCGCTATTGGTAAAGCATCTTGTGCTGCCAGCAAGTGTGTTCATGCCTGGTGTGGGAGTGGTGGAGATCCCAGCTTTGGTCGACTCAGGGGCCACAGCCAATTTCATGGATGCTCATTTTGTCAAGCAATGGTTCATTCCTCAGCAACAGGTATCACCACCAGTAATGGTGGAGACAATAGATGGTCGGCCCCTTTGTTCAGGACCTGTGGTTGCTGCAACCAAACCCCTTTGCATGCGTATTGGGCAGCATGTGGAGAAAACTGTGTTTTACGTTGCCACAGTGCCTCATTTTCCGGTGGTGCTGGGTTTGGAGTGGCTACAGGCCCATGATCCACATATTGTCTGGTCGTCTGGAGCTGTGCAGTTCCTGGATAGGAAGTGTGCCAATCATTGCTTGTGCTCCTGTGCAGGGAGTGTGGCTACGCCCG